TGGGGCTGGGACCCAGGGACCCCCACCCGCTGCTCAGCACCCTCCTCCCTTCGGGAAACTTCTCAGGCTTGAGGTAAGTATAGGGAAGGGGCTGAAGCAACCGAAGAAGTTTCATTCCGGGATGGACTGGAGGCGCTGAGTGCTGATGGAGAGGGGCCTGGGAGCCCGGGGGCCTAGAGCAGTGATGGCGAACCTATGACACGCGTGTCAGAGGTGACACGCGAACTCATTCTTTTGGTTGATTTTTCTTTGTTAAATGGCATTTAAATATATAAAATAAATATCAAAAATATAAATCTTTGTTTTACTATGGTTGCAAATATCAAAAAATTTCTATATGTGACACGGCACCAGAGTTAAGTTAGGGTTTTTCAAAATACTGACACACCGAGCTCAAAAGGTTCGCCATCACTGGCCTAGAGATTCTAGGGGGTGACTCTGAGGTGCAGGCCGGCCACCACTGCCGCTTCCCGCTGGGTTCTTGGCTGCTCTCCACACCATGCTGGTCTGGTCCGGGCGGAGAAATGACCAGCAGGACCCGGCACATCATTCATTCACTCACAGATCCCTGTTCCCAGCAGGGCGCCCAGAGGGCTGGGGAGAGGAGACAGAACAACACGTTAGACGCCACACGCAGGGCCTGGCGGAGGGAGATGGGGGGAGGGAGGCTGAGGCTCAGTCCTGAAGAACAAGGAGGATTTCCTCAGGGAGAAGAGAGAAAAAGGGCTCCTGTGCAGAGGCTCCGAGAGCCCAGGGTAGGCTCCGAGAGCCCAGGGTACGGGGACCGTGCGCCGGGCTGCGCTGGAACGCGGGGTCCTGTGGGTGAGCACATTCAGGAAGTCTGGATTAAGCCAGGCTGAGCTGCAGGCCTTGTCAGAGCCTTTAACCTGTTCCTGTGCAGGTGAGTCGTGGGGTATCCGGGACTCGTGCTCCATGGCAGGCTACAGGGCGTGGAGGCAGGGGAGGCAGGGGAGTTGGTGGGGCTTCTAATGCCAGGATCGAAGGCTGGGCTCTTCCCTGGGGCCAGCGAGGAGCCTCAGAAGGAATCAGCGAAGGGATTTAGACTCAGGACACCTGGGGCAGTTCAGTGACCAGCGAGGTCAGGGCAGCGGCAGGACATGGCCAGCCCCTCGCACCACCCACTCCTCCCTGGCTGACAGCAGGGCCGCTCGGTGGGAGGGAGAGGAATCCGTGCACACAGGCAGCGGTAGGCAGAGCCGGGCAAGAAGGGAGGGGCCGCAAGTCCTGGAATCCAGGTGTGGCGAAGAGCCTGTGGGGGCTCCAGGCTGCTCCCAGTCCACCTCTTCCCAGCTGGGGCTCTGGCTGGACTTCCCAGGGAGGGGACATTATTTGAGGCTTTAAAAAAATACACATTTTTTAGAGCAGTTTTAAGTTTATGGAAAAATTGTGCCCCAGGTGCAGAAGGTTCCCTGCATTCCCTCCCTGTCCCCACAGACGCCCTGTTATTAACAACTCGCATGCGTGTGGCCCGTTTGTTAGTGATGGACTCGCTTCGGTCCATCATTATTGACTGAAGTCTGTGGTTTACGTGACGGTTCACCCTGTGTTGTACGTTCTATGGATTGTGACACGTGTGCCACGCCAGGTCCCCACCATCACAGTGTCACACAGAATAGCCTCACCGCCCGACCGCCCTGTCTGCGCCCAGTTTTAACATCTGTAGGATGAGAGCACGAGGTTCATCCAAACCCCTCAGCCTCCCCCTGCAGGTTCCTCATTAGGCCTTTGACAAATTAAAGGGCTCAGAAATCAGCTGTCTCTCTAAATATGGCCTGATACCTATCAGAATCGCTAGGCTCAGGCTGAGGGGAAGGGACCCGCATTCCAACAATCTAGGGCAGCGGTTCTCAACCTGTGGGCCGCGACCCCTTTGGGGGTCGAACGACCCTTTCGCAGGGGTCGCCTAAGACCCTCGGAAAACACATATATAATTACATATTGTTTTTGTGATTAATCACTATGCTTTAATTATGTTCAATTTGTAACAATGAAATTGGGGGTCACCACAACATGAGGAACTGTATTGAAGGGTCGCGGTTTTAGGAAGGTTGAGAACCACTGATCTAGGGGCTCCACCCCAGGCCCCTAAATCCGAACCCCCGGGTGGGGCCCAGGAAGGAGCACTGGCCCAGGTCCTCGTGCACAGGGCAGTTTGAGACCCGCTGGGCCCAGGGCAAGGACGGGGCCAGCTCCTGACTGCGCGTGGGGATTTGTCCTACCAGCTTCCCAAACCTGAACAGAAGGGTCCCGGCCGTCAGGTTAGGGCTGGGCAGAGACGGACATTCCCAACGGGGAGGCGCAGAGCCGTGCTCTGTAAAGCCTGGGAAAAGCGCGTTTCTGGCTCGCAGCTCCCCGTCAACAGGCCTGCTGGTCTCAGGTCTTGATTGCCTATCACCCCCGCACCCCCCACCACCTCCACCAAATAGCCTGCATGCTGTGTCTCTCCAGCTGCGGCTGCGGCTCTCCAGCTGCGACTGCCTCCACAACTTTCTTAACTTCGCAGCCGAGCATGTGGGCTCCAAGACGAGCGCCCGCCCGGCGGGAAAGGCCCTCCCTGGTGGCCATCTCGAGTGGCTGAATAGGGTTGCCCCCAAGTCCTGTCTACCCAGAACTCAGGAAGTGACCTCACTTGGAAACGGGCTCTCTGCAGCTGCAATGAGGAAGGATTGAGATGCGATCACACGGGTGGACCCTACATGGAACAGCTGGTGTTCTTCTAAGAGGGGAGGACAGACAGACACGGGAGAAGGCCCCGTGAGGACAGAGGCAGGAAGTGGACGGAGGCGGCGACAAGCAAAGGGCACCAAAGGTCCCGGGCGCCACCAGAGCTGGAAGAGGCGGGGAAAGATTCTCCGCCGAGACGCTCCGCGTGGGAGGAGCACGGCCGCCACCGTGGTTTCAGGCTCAGAAGTCGCGACAGCAACTTTTCTGTTGCTCTAAGCGCCCAGCGTCGTGGCCATTGTGACCTAGAAGATGATACCCCTCCCCTGAGGGTGGACGACCCCGCTC